CTTGAATTCACTATGTAGCCCAGGCTGGCCTCTAACTTACAGCCATCCTCCTGCCTCAGTGTCCCAAGTGTTGGGATTACAGGTGTGCACCACCATGCCCCACAGAAGATAGACAATTACAGCATCTCACTCTTTATGTGCTCTCACCTCCCACCCTGGTATTAACAACTAAATGTCAATTGACTCTAAAGCTAGACCTTCAGCCTGCTCCTCTCCTGTTCTGTATATTCTGTGTTCCCCAGTCTTCTCTTGGCAACTCATCCGATGCTCATCTCATCATCTCCGCCACACCAACCCGCCTTCTCCTGCTTTCTCCTGTGTTGCTGTATCTGTGAATAGCATTGCCATCATTCAGCCAGAAACACACACATCATCCTGGAATTCTCCATTCACACATCATCAACCACAAGTCCTACTGTTTTGCAATCTTAAAATAACTTAAGTAGTTTCCATCATCTTCCATAGTTCTGGGTCAATCCAATGTCTTTTATATCTTGGGTTGCTGCTACACCTAAGGGTGATACTTTTCCCCTCCTCCTCCTCCTCCTCCTCCTCCTCCTTTGTCATCATCATCATCTCCTCTGCCTCATCCTCCTTCCTCTTCTTCTTCTCTTCAGTACAGGAGATTGAACCTTGGGCCTCACACAGACTAGGCAAGTGCTCTACCACTGAATTACATCCCCAGACCTCTGCAAATTTTATTTTGAGACAGGGTCTTGCCAAGTTGCCCAAGTTGGCCTCAAACTTTCAGTCCTCCTACCTTAGCCCTGCTGAGTATCTGGGTAATAGGCATGGACCAAGTGTTCCTTCTATTCTCAATGTCATTCTGGGCTTGCTTCCATGCAAACCACATTATAGGCAGAGTGCTCGCTTGAACTGTCAATAATCACAGTGAGCTACAGTAATCTCGCCACACATTTTCGTTGGATTTTAATATAACTACTTTATTTTAGTCACCTTCTCCCTGCTATGTACTTTTCCTTTGTATTCTCTAGTATAAGCTAAGATCCTGTAGCAAATATTAAATAGACCAAAATAAAATAATTCAATACAATGGAAGCTCTTTTTTCTCCAACATGACGATCCTGAGTAGATGCCTGTCTGTGGGGACAGACCCTAGACCATCCTGTAGGACCTGCTCAGCACTGGCATCCAGCCAGGGGAAGGGGAAGGAGGTTGGGGGAGGCCTGGGAGGAGAATGTCCAGGCAGGAGACTGTGCACAGAGTCTCTGCTCCCATTACATGTGGCCATGCCCAAGCAAGGAGGGCATGGATTTTCGGTGGATGGCCACTATATGGGTCTTTTAAGCTAAAAGAGAGAGAAATGGCATCTTCACCACTCTTTCAGTCTATTTGTCAGGAAAGCTTTCCTAGGAGTGGTAGACACTTGGGTGTCTGGGTGGCAGAAGGGTGTTAGTGTAATCAAGAATATAAGTTTTTGAGGCAGACAGACTTAGATTTAAATCTTGTTCTGGTGTTGACTAGTTAGCTTAGTTATGGTAGATAATTCATTCCAAATCATCCAACAAGTGATTTGGAATAAATCATGTCAAAACACATAAAATTTTTTGTAAAGAGTAAGAAAAATTAAGTGTTTAAAACAATTAGCTCAGTCCCTGTCAAAAACAAATCTAACTAAATACCATTAATTATTGGTTCTGTGAGATAAAAGCTGAAACATTAAAAGAAAGACTTTGGAATTAGTCTGCTTTATGACATTTGGCAAGTTATTTAGCATATGCCAGGTTTTTGGTTTTTTATCTGTAAAATGATCATAATTCTTTATACTTCTTTGAATAGAGAGAATGGGCATATAAAGTGTTTTTCATCATGATTAGCTATTACCCATGATAGCTGTGCTTAAGGAAGTGAACGTCAGAGTATCAGGAAGAAGAAATTATTTATGTGATGTAAATAATTTCCCCTTTCATCAAGAATAACTGAAAATTTCAAACTCTCCCCTCACTCCTTAAAATTCTATTAAGATTTTGAATTTTCAAACCACAAAACTCAAGTATGCAAAAAATGTAACTATTTTTCCTCATTTCCATCCAAAACCCCTATGGCACCTAGAGCAGAAATAGAATCTTGCAATTTCAAGGGAAAATCAGTCACTTCAGGTTTTTCTCAGCCAGTTCCAAGAAAATATCATTAGTTTATGGTTCAAGACCTCTCCAGTTTTGTCTTGGCCTCTACAAATTAGGACACTGGAAAAGCAAGTTAGCAAGTGGGGTAAGACCCTGGGTTCTAAGTCACCTGGTCCCCTAGGGGCTTCCACTAAGACTTACAGCGCCCTCTCTGATTTGAAGCTCCTTGATCTCCAGGTTCACCTTTGCCTGTTTCATGGTTACTTATGTCTGGTTCCTGTCCATGCTTCTATCAGTCTTGGTTGTCCTAACTCCATAGCCCCTTGGCACAAGTAGACTTTGTACTCCAGACTCCAATTGTTACCAAGAACTCAAGAGCACTGCCTCAGCCTCCCTGCCCGGTTTCTTCTGCTGGTGCAGTCTAGGCCATCACCGCTTGGGAAAATATCCACGAGTCTGCTGGTTTCCAGGACTAAAAGGGGAAAATCGCAGTGACCGCCCCTGTATCTGGAGAGCCCTCGATTTGCCTTTGGCGGCCACCTTGCCCTCTTATGAAAAGCAGCAGGAGGAGGCAGAGGCCTCAGAGAACTTCAGCATCCCATTTATTTTCTTCTTCCCAGTCTTCTTTACTCCCCCAGCTCAGAGATTTACCTGAAAGATAGAGATGTTCACTCCTTCTGTTCTGAAACTTGGAAGCCATGCGCTGCATACCTTAGTCTGTTTCCCTGTGACACATGTCCTGCTAGGGACAAGAAGGCTCAACTTTCAGCATGAGCCCGGGCCTGTATCCAATCACCTCCTCGTCACTGAGAAAGCAAGGCACCCAAGAAGGGCGTTGTCACAGTCACCAAATTCGAGGCACCTTACACATCTGCCCTCATGCTGGGTCTCTGCAGCCTCCTTCCTTGGAGGTTTGCCTCGCTGCCTTCAAGGTGTATTCTCCCCCTCCAAGTCTATCTTCTTTCACACCAGTGGTCAGCAAGCTTTTCTCACAGCGGGCCAGACAGGAAATACTCTAGACATTCCTGGCCTCAGTCTCCCGTTAGGACCTCAGCGCTCCTCCATCGGAGCATGAAAGCATTTATAGGCAATACCCTAGTGAAGGGCTATGCCTGTGTTCCACTACCGATTATTCATGAACACTAAAATAAGGATTTTGTATAATTTCCACAAGTTAATAAATTCTATTCTTTTTAAGTTTCTTCAACCACTTACAAATGTGAAAACTATTCCTAGCACATGGGCCCTCGAGCATCAGCAGAAATAAGCAGCAGGCCAAATTTCCCCTGGTTTGTCAATCTCTGTTCTACATTGTTTATCTCTCGTAACTGAGCTGATGGCTGACGGCTGATTCTTCCACACGCTCTAGTGTCTTCCATCCTTTAAAAAAACTCATTGCCCTTGGGTCCTTGAGTATTCTAGCTACCATTCTATTTCTCCATTGATCTTCACACCTAAACTTCTTAAGACGTTTCTACAAACGAATCCCACATCTTCATCATTTGATTATTTTTCAAATCACTTTAATGTATTTTAAAAACTCTTAGTGTCACCAGTGATCTCTGTTTCAAGTCTACTGTCTCCTTTGGCCCGTGTTTTACTCGACTTCTCAGCAGGTTCCGGCCCAGCTGAGCCTCTGCTCTTTGGAACTTCCCTTCTTGCTTCTGTGAAGTTCAGTCCTTTTTGTATCTTATTGGTCACCTATGTTCGGCCTGCACAGGGACTTCTCTGTTTACGTCACAATTTCTGAGCATTCGTCCCTACTTACATTTCTTTTTTCCTAAGTATTCTCACGCCTTTAACTCTAATCTGTATTCTGACAATTTCAAAACATGAAACCTCTCCTGTCCAGACCATTCCTTCCCCTGACCTCCAGACTCAGGGATCGATGATTACCTAACTGATGAGCTCGTGCAGTTATCAAAGAAGCGGCTCAAAGTTGACCTGGTCCAACAGGACTGCGTATCTCTTCTTAAATCCTTTCCCTCCAGCCTTCCCTATCTTGGGACTGTTACCACCAACTAGTTGGGTACTAAATCACCCTCCGACTGCCCCTGAAGGATGGTGGCGGAAGAGCAAAGAGAGAGGTCCTTTGGTTCTAGAAAATCTCCTGGAAAAGAGGAAAGGCTTCTCAGCCCTCAAAGCCACCCACGCAGACCAGGCACTTTTGGCTAAGAGAGGAAGGTAAAGGTATCCGACGTAAGCGAGGGCACTCGGTCCTGCGCCATGATAGGCGCTCGTGCACCGACCGGAAGTGCACCCTGTGGCCTGGTCCGCTTCCGGCAGGGACAGGGGTGAGCTCTCATTGCAAGACTGTCCTGAAGAGCCGCTCACAGGTGTCTCTGTTAGAGTCATCCCAACCCTCAAATCGCTGGGTCTAGCGACCCCAGGTGACCCAGGATTTCCAGAGCCGAGCCGGAGCCTGTCCGAGAACTCATCCCGAAGTCCGGCAGGCACAGGTCCAGAGGAGACACCGCCTCCCCCGGCGCTGCAGTGGAGGAGCCGGAGCTGCAGGGCGTCCCCGGCCGGCCGCGGGCCTCGCTGTAGGGTGGGCTCGGAACTGGCCCGGAATGTCACAGCGCAGGCCTCGGACGCCCGTGATCTTCTTACCAGGATCTCGGAGATGATTTTCTGCCCGCAGAGCCTGGAAGGAGGGAGGGAGGGGGCACCGCTCACCGCCGCCCAGTTTCGGGGAGCAGCTCCACGCGGCCTACCTCGTCCTCCGAAATAGGGGGAACCCCGTTCAGTGCATCTTCTGTCCCGGGGTTTGGTGTCTATGAATGAGTAACTGATTCACAGCAGTGGACCCAGCCCAGGGGCGGACTTGGGTCTAGGGTTCCAGGGCTTTTTTTTTTAAGACTTGAAATACAGTTACAAAAATAAAAACCAACTCCTCTTCTTTGTGATTTCTCTTTTCCCCTCACCTGTTAGCAATCAATACGCCTGGTCAATACAGCCTCTACAATGTGTTTCCACTGTGTGACTCGTCCCCACGCCACCGTCCTTCTTAGCTAAAGTGCTTCGATTGTCTTCCAGTCTCCTATCAGCAAAACCTGCCCTCCTGGACATCTCTGCTCTGGGAAAACCTGATGTAGAAGAATCAACAGCCGCAGATGTATGAAGCCAAAGAAAGGGGCTGACAGGTGCGGGGTTCTAGGGGGCAGTTTACTGGGGCCCTGTTAACAGAGCAGGGGAAAGGGCAGCCGCTAGCCCAGTGATTCAGGCCGAGGAAGGGGGCTCGGTGTGGTCAGGACAAAGGCCACTTTGTTGGAGCTGAAACGTGTCTGTTGTGTCTCAAGCTAATGTGGAGGATTTCGGGCACACTCCTGGTGTTGCTGGTGATGTCCAGTTTTGTTGCTGTGCATAACACTCTTCAGGACTTTGTTTATTCATGCTATGTGAAAAAAGCAGGTCAGGGTCGACTCAACATCAAGCTAAGTCCCTACATTCTCTCTATGAAGAATTGAAATGATGATTTTATGCGTGTTGCTCACCTGGTTTGCAGCCTCCTACAGCTTCCCACTGTGCAAATGGTCTGTCCCACACTGCTACAGAAATCTCTTTCTGGCTTCGAGGGCTTTGCATATCCCATCTTCTCCACTAGCAACATTCTTCCCATAGCTATTTAGGTGTTCATCTTGTGGTCTTCCATGAACATGGTGCATACTAGTCTTCCACCCTGACGTTTATTCTCTAGACCACCTTGGCTCCAGTTATGACATGTTATTTACATATTATAAATAAAGCTTAAATAGACATACAGGTGGCCCTTGCCTTATGGTGGGATTGCACTCTGATAAACCCGTTGTCAGGTGAAAATACTGTAGGTCAAAAATGCATGTGATTCTCCTAACCTACAGAGCATCCTAGCTTAGCCCAGCCTATGTTCAATGTATGCACTCAGAACACTCACCTTAATTACGATTGGGTAAAAGCAGCTAACATAGAACTGCCAGAGAGTATCAACTGCATATTGCCAGGAAAAGACCAAAATTTATAATTCCAAGTGTGGCTTCTACACAGTGCCTATCATTTTTGCACCATCATGCAGTTGAAAAGCCAGAAGTGGAACTGTAGTTAGCAAGACACCCTGGGTATGAATACAGCTATACCCAGTGGGTATCTCCTATTGTTTCCTGTTTGCTGCTTGTCTCTCTTACTAGAATGTAACCTCCATGGGTCCAGGAAGTACACCTACAACTTCACCACACTATGCATAACCTTCTGCACCACAACTTTATCCATACTAGACAGTCAAAATAGGAGCACGCGCGCTCCATTTCAAACAGCCAAACAAAAGGTGATATGAATTGAACATTTGTGTCCCTCTGAAATTTATGTTGAGACCCTAATCTTTGATGTGATGGTATTTAGGGGTAGGATCTTTGGGAGATAACTGGGTCACAGGCCTGGAAACCTTGTAATACAATTAGTTCCCTGATGAAAAGACACAAAAGAGAGATAAGAGCAAGTTGAGGTAACAGTAAGAAAATAACCATCTGTACACCAGATAGAGGGCTTTCACCAGGAACTAACTAAGCTGGCACCTGGATCTTGGCCTGCCCAGCTTCTAGATCCATGAGAAATAAGTATCTATGGCTTAAGTCACACAGGCTTGAGTGCTTTGTTCCAGCACCACAAGCAGGCTTGTACGTCTTACAATGTTAAACTTGGAAGAGGCTGATCCCCTTGTTTTACAGATAAATAAACTAAACCCCAGAGGGTAGCTGGTGAACTGAATGGAGAAATGGCTCACATAGGGCTAGAATCCTGGTCATGTCCAGCCTTCTCTTTGCCCTTCATCACAGGAGGCAAGACTAAGAATTAAGAAGAGCAATCTGTGGTCTGCACTTAGAACCTTCCCTTTGTTAGGTTAACCTTTCAACATTTGAATACATTGCTGGAGACAGAGACAGTCCTTGTAATTTGCTTAATGCAGAAAAAAAGGAGATTGCTGGATAAATTTTTCCAGACATTTTGTTTATAACCTTAAAGTCCATGACCAGTAGAATTTAAATTGAATTTAACCTACTTTTAATATTTCAAATGCTATTTGCTTCATGTTTTCCATATAAAATCTGCAGTTCTATCTTAGCATTTCACCTTTCCATCCTCTTTTTCCACCATCCAGTGGTCTGGCCCTCCTCTGAGTGCAGCAGCCAGATGACAGATATGCTTCCAAGTCCCCCCGGGAGTGGTTTCTCCTTCTGTACCAGGTCAGACAGCCAGCATGGAGTGGAAAGAGCAGGGGTTAGAATTCAGATGGCCTCGTTTACCAACCTGGCTCTGCCCCTCCTTCCCTGGGTCACGCTGGACAAGCTGCTTGAACACCCTGGCCACTTCCCCTGATTGTAGATTAAAGAATTCAGAGTAAAATCTTCCCAATGCTTCCAGCTGGTTCTACCTTCCATGGTTCCGGCTTCCACACACCAAATAAAACTTGGTACCATAGATGAACTCATTTTATCTCCTCCTTCTCTTTCATTATGTCATCTGTATTTCTCCTGTATAATGTGATCTGCTTAAAACTCTTCTCATCTCAAAATCCACATTACTCCAGAGAATGTTCAGTTGCCATTCACTTTGTTACCCTGGTCTTTTCAAGCAATTGCCTCAAGAAAGAAAACGCTTGACGTCACAGAAATCAATTGTCCAAAAAGCAGCCTCAGTATACACTCCAAAAGCCAATGGGCTAATTTTTCTGGATATTCCTAAAAAGCTAGAGAAACTTTTCAGAACCTCTGAAATTAGGTCTTCTATGGCCAATGGTGGTCAGATATACACCCAATATTCAAGAAGAAGGAAGGGCCAGGGATTTAGCTCAGTGGTTCCACTGCCTGCCCCAAAAGCACAAGGTCCCGAGTTCAATCCCCAGTACAAAAAAAAAAGAAGAAGAAGGAGGAGGAGGAGGAGGAGGAAGAGGAGGAGGAGGAGGAAAGTGTTTGGTTCCAAAATTCCCCCTTCCTGCTTCATTTGAGAACACTAAAATTGCATAACATCACCCTCTCTATCCCCGGGCCCTCCAGAGACTGGATGCCTTAAAATCCAGTCATACATTCTTCTATTCATTTATATATTCAACAAATGCTTTTCCATTAATGATTACATGCCAGGCACTGTGTATGCTGAACATCTAGAAATGGGTAAGGTACTAATCGCTGTCCACAGGAAACTTGGTCCCCTCCAGTGTTGACAAGAAAACTTTCACCTGCAGATCCAAGTGAGAACTCTTACAGTTCCCTCTTGCAGGCTTTATGGTTCTTTCTAGTCCTCCGTTGGAGGTGGGTGGGTGTGGATGGCTTCGTGGTATTTTCTGTGCTCCAAGCCCATGAAAGACTTCCCTTATGTTACCCAAGACAGCAGAGTCAATGCAGAATGATTCACTGGAGGTCTCAGGCTCACCCTCTGTAGCTTCTCCAGCCTCCCAGCTCTTTTTTGCCACTTTACCCTTGTCTCTCTTAATCATTTGCTTCACATCCAAACCTTTATGCATTTGTCTAAACTTTATCATTTGGTTGCCAATAAAATTCTAACCTGCCATTTTGGACAGCAAGCAGAAATTTCATTGGGTATTTATTGAAGAAATAAATGTTTGTGAGATATTCCATGAATGAGAGGTTGGCTGAAAGCTGAGGACCACAAAACTTTGGCACATGTGTATAAAATTTTACTACTGACCCTTGGCATATGCAAACTGAATGCATGAATAGTCCCTAAAATGAGGAAGTCCCATTGGCCCACACATTCCAAATTTAATATTATCCAGTAAGATAAGAGGAAGCAGGGTTCTTTCAAGTTTGCAGGTGGGAAACTCAAGGCAAAAAATGGTTAAGAATTGACTGAGTTTTTTCCTCTTAATTTCATTGCCTCTTAAAATGACTGAAATATCTGTTACAGCTTTATGTTGATTCACTCAAAAACTCAAAGGCGGGCCATTGTGATCCTCATTTCTATTTTGTGATCGAGTATTTTTGCATCTGCAAGCAAAGTAAAAGTGTAAAATCGATTAACAAGGACAAAGACCACAGCAAGCCTGGATCAGAGAGAATTTTCTACTCTGCCTGCAAGGTAAACCCATTACTCCTGGATGAGGTGTTTTTCTTCATTGCAACCCTCAAATTTAACACTTATCAAACATGGTTTGGGGTACAAAATAGTATTCAATACACCACAAAGCTGAGGGAGAAAGGAGAGGATGCAAAACATTAATATTTATGGTTACTCATAGACATTTTTAAACATCCAAAAACATTTGAAAGACCAAAGACTAGGGTGGCCATGTCCCCCAAAATAAACATGGGCATGCAGGTATCTCTTTGGTATCCTGATTTAATTTCCTTTGGGTATTGTATTAGTCAGTTTTCGGGTTGCTGGGACAAAATACCTGATACTTATAACTTAAAGGAGAGGTTGACTTTGGTTCATGTTTCAGGGGATTCAGTCCATAGTCAGCTGGCTTTAAGACAGAAATGGCATGATGGAAGGGCATGATGGAGGAAAGCTGCTCCTCTTGTGAAGGCCAGGAAACAGAGAGTAAAGGGAGTTGCTGGGAGGGAGATCTACCCTCCAAAGGTACACCCCAGTGACCCACCTCTTCCAACCAGGCCCCGCCTTCTAACAACACGGTTAACTACTAACTCTTCGATGGATCCATCACTGGTGAGTATGGAACCCGCAGGATCCAATCACTTTCTACAAGCTCCACCTCTGAACATGTGAGAAAACGAGAAGAGCAGGGGGTAAGGGGTGATTTGGGTTTTTGAAATGCTGCTTGTGAGGTGTCTGTGACCATTCAGGTATGATATCTAGGGAGCACATGTAAAAGTGATTTTTTGGAAGATAGAGCTGGTCTAGCAATATAAATTGTAGCAGTGTTATCCATTCAAAATGAGCATGTAAGGAAATAAGAAAAGAAAAAGAGGAAACCACAGGAAAAGCAAACGTTGCAGAAGGTAGCAAAAAAGGGTATTTCAAAAGATGGAAACAGGGCCAGGGATATAGCTCAGGGGTAAAACATTTGCATAAGACCCTGGGTTCAAACCCCAGAACTGCAAAAGGAAAAGAGTAAAAAATGGAAACAGGCACAGAAGAGAAATATGTTTTCAAATAGTAATGAGAAATAAGGCTGTTGGAAAAAACATGGAAGTGAAATTTTCAAATAAGAATAAAATAACCAAAACTTATTCTAAAACATTTTATTATCCATATAAAAAATCTGACCTTATTATATATATAAAATTAAATTTCAGAGGATTAAAAACTGAAATATGAAAGTCACAACTTAAGAATTTTTAGAAGGAAAGAAAGAAAATATCTCAATGAATTATCAGTATAAGAGACAAAAAACACAAACTATGAAAATCAGTAAATTTTTCATAATAAATTAAAAATAAACTCTCAAAAAAATAAAAAATAAAAATACTAGCCCCAACTGGCAAATGAGATCTTTAATGCATATACCCAATCAACTATGAGTACTGAAAATATACAAGAACTCTTTCTCGTTCCCTTTCCCCTCCATCACACCCACGTCCTAACACACACACAATCAAAAACAAAAGCAACAAAAACAACAATGGAAAGGTGATCAAATGACATGAGTGGAAAATTCATAGATAAAAAAATCTGAATCACTAACAAACATCTGAAAAAAATCCCAAACTTCAGTGAAATGAGCAGTTCAAGTAGCAAGGTTTTTATCCACCAGATTGAGCAACCCATGCAACCGTGACTGTGCAACTGTCTACAGGGGGATCGAGCAGTGTTTCAAAACGCACTGACATCTGGACCCAGGGAATCCTGTGGACAACTGTCCTGTGCACTGCACGATGTTTAGCATCACATCCCTAATCTCTTTCCACAAGGTGCCAGTAGAACGCCACCAACATTTGTGATAAAACTGTCTTCACCCATTACCAAATGTCACATGGAGGGAAAAATCCCCTCCTATTATAGGGACAGATTGGAGGAGTGTAGGTCACCAATACGGTGTGGCTGGTGGTTGGAAAATTGCCACATGTTTATTGTGCACTATGTGCCTGAGGAAGCTACCCCTCTGTGAAACTGTTACATGCATTTACTGTGCACTCGAGGAAACCCCAGCCCACGGACCTTTTGCTCAGTCCAGGAACAAAGGGAGGACCCTGATGGGCCTGGATCACACCAGTGAGACAATTATTTTTAGAAAGCAGCTTAACTCTGCACCCCAGAACCCACTGGGCAACCCCACTTGGGTCCCCCTTCCTTGCAGCCCACTCTGCTGTGAAGGGTGCCTTGTCCTGCATTCACCGCACCGTAAATAAACTTCCACTTTGCATCACTTCAGCGGTGACTTCATTTCCTGTCAGAGGCGCTGGCTTTGAACCAGTCTCACCCTACTTCATCTTCTTCGCCAGAGTGAGGGTGAGGGACCTGGAGAAAGGTGGAGGGTCATTACGGAGGACCCCTGTCTCCCTGAGAGACCCCCGACCTGAGGCAACACCACTGATGCCAAGCGTGGCTGGCAGGAATATAAACCGGTACAATTTTAACACGAAATCTGGTAATAATGAGCAAAGCTGAAGGTGTGCAGAGTCTATGATCTCAGCGCTATACCTCGGAGAAACTCACAGAAACACTGAGGGCCATGTTCAAAACTGTTGCAGCTTTGACTGAATATTGGTCAAACTGCTGCATTCTTCAGTGCGGTATTACAAAGAACAAAACATAAATGAATTAGAATAATTACCAATATAATAAAATTTCACCAACATATCGTGGAAAAACAAAAGAATAGATCTATGATGCCATTAATGCAAAGCTTGAAATGTGGAAAAAGAACCTTCTCCTGCTGCTTTTGGACACCCATAAATTCAGTAAATCTAGGTCAGTGAGGAGTGGTGTCCAGGGACTTGCAAGGCAGGAAAAGAGGCTGCCATCCTGTTCCAAAGGGCAGCTGGAAGTTGGGAGCCTAGACTTTTGCACACTGCTCATGGTGGCTCACCTTGCTAGCACAGAGCAGCGGCTAGACCCCACGGTGCTGCAGGCTCTCAGCTGTGGGACTCCGGGGCAGGGCAGGCGGGGCAGCCCAAAACCAAGGTGGGCACCTTCTTCTGCATCACCCTCTTTGGCAAGCGTGGGGACCAAGAGAGCCTGACGTGGATTCCAGTCTGTCCTCATCCTGCCCCACCTCGCCATCTTCACTGCCAGCCCTGCCACCCCACGATGGCCTCAGCCCACAGCAGAGGCAGAGACAGCAGCCATCCGGTTCTTTCAGCTCCTACAGCCGCATAAAACCTACTCCGCATCGTAAATCCCTTACTGTGTATCACTCGGCGGGGCTCTGCCTCCCAGCTGGAGGGCTAACAGCTACAACGTGTTGTCGAGACAAGCTGGGAGATGTAGGGCCTCCGTAGCTGCTGAGGAAGGGGCAGGGGATGGACTGGCTGTGGTACACCAAGATCACTCATGGGATTTATATAGTAAATTATCAATTTGGTAGTGATTCATTTACCATAACAAGACACAAGGCTGACTACATGGTCATGGATTACAACATGCAAATTTCTTTTTTATTTTTCAACTTGTACATCTTTATGGATACATTATGATAATTCAGTACATGAATGCAAAGACTAATAAACAAATCAGGATAATAAGCATTTCCATCTCTTCAAACATTAGCTCTTTTCATGTGTTGGAAATTTTTGTATATTTCTAGTCATTTTGAAATATTTCATAGGTTGTTTTGCCCAATAGTTACCCTACTGTGCTAAAGAAGAACCCTCTGTGCTGGGTTTCTCTTGCCGTTTGTGGAATTTCTCTCTGGCCCCCACCCTCTGTCCTTTACCATCTTGAAAATTTCTTAAGCTGGTTGCCAAGGGCACAGCAACTAAATAAGCATGCATGATAATGGGCAGCTTATTGGACCTGTCATTTTTTATTGCTTTATCTGCAAAGTCATGGGATTAAATTATATTGATGTGCCTTCCGGGTCTAAAAATAGTTTGAGTCCCATTTGTACATTTTGATTTATAATATATCAGGAGTCGAAATACCTGTTTTCAAATATTTGAAGGACATTGTGGACGATCTTCAAATATTTGTTCAAGCTATGTTGTTTTTGAGAACAGTATAAGAAGTAACTTTCTACCAATTACAACTGCCCACCAAAGGAAGAAAGTGCCTTTGGAAGTGATGAGTTCACTCTCCCGGGAGCAATCTTGGCAGAAGACAAACAATTATACCTCACAGGGGCTACAGAAGGACTTACCAGTTGGGAGAATGACCAAACTGGTGTCCCCTCCTCTCTGAGCTTGAACTGGCTGTGCTTTTTATATAAATACTTTCCATTGAAATTATTAGCTTAGATGGTTACAGAAGAATAGTTCAGGTCCAATTTTTTTTCAGTTGTAACGGATATAGCATTACAGTTTGTAACAGTTGATCAGAGCCTAAGCCACTTCTTGCTTGTTAATTTGAACATGTAGCCAGGAGTAAATAGCACACAGTGTGTGTAATGCAATCTTGAAACGGTTTTGTTGGAACGATGCCTGGACCTCATACAAGGAAATGAAAAAAGTAAGAAATGTAAATGAATGTGATGTCAGACTGATGAAGCAAGTCTCTAGAGACGCTTTGGAAGCTAAAATGGATTTTAAGATTCATTAGGATTGAATTGTAAAATAAATGAAAACCAGAAGGGTTAAAGATGAGCCTGATGGCGACAGGAAAAGAAAGTTCTTTGGATACCCATGGCAGGGAGCAAGCAAGCTCAAGTTCACATCTAAGGCAAAAAGAAATTATCTTCCGGCTTCTTCCCAGTTGCCGTTCACTCTGTGCAGGGCCCTCAAAATACAAAGCCGAGACAGCACACTGCTGACCATTCAGCGTGCTTTCGAGGAAGGGACAGACACACACAACTGGGCAAAAATAATAAAAATGTTGCAACACTAAGACAATTGGTGAGTCGACTGAGCACTAACCATGTGCTGATTCTGTCCTGAGCACTTTACAAAGATGAGATAATTTCGCTTTCATGGCAGCACCCTGAGAAGGGACTGTTACTGTCCATGTCTCATAAGTGCTGGGTTAAGTGGTACACTCGGATCACACAGTTTGAGGTGACATAGGCAGAATCCAGACTGAAGCAGAGCTAATCCAGGCTTTGTCCCTAATCATACACATGATAATGTTCCTGGGCCAAGAAGTTTGGAGATTTCTCCTTTAAAGATGTTTAAAATTATCTTTATTGTTTCATAGCTTTGAAAAACACAGATTTGCAGTACATCATAGAAAGAAGATAGGGATGTTGAACAAGTCACCTAAAAAAGGATTATCTAGAAGTAACTTTGGGGTGAAAAGAAAAATGAATTTTAGCTTGGGTCACATTGACTTTAAGTTATTTGGGGGAACCACAGTACTAAGAAGATAGAAATATAAACATTTGGGATATAAATTGAGAAATATAAACTGAGATAATTTAATGATACATGTAATTACTGGCTGGGCCCAAAACAAGGAGAGAGGGCACATAACAATGAGTCTGAGAGAGGAATTGTGAAGAATATAATAATTGAAGAAATTGATGCAGAAATAATGTCCAAGAAGTTTAAGAAGTCCTCAGAGACAGGGGGACAGGGTCTGGGGGGAATGGGAATAAGGAGGTTAAGGGAGAAGACGTATGGAGGGGCAAATACAAAGGAAAGAAGGGCAAATACCGCCTGATGTTTTGAAGACTCCATCAGCTAAGATCAAGAGGATTTGTTGGGTTTTTAGTAGTTACAGGATTCCCAATGTCTTGCAGAAAAACAGCTGCAGAAGAGCAGTGAAATTAGGTTATGATGGATAACTTTTCCAGGAGAAAAGTAAGTCATAAATTGCAGTGTCCAGTTAAACAGTTCTTTCAAGAATCTTGGTTAGAAATGGAGGTAAGGACATACAGTCACCTTAACCAGTGTTGTCCAAACAGGGATTCCGTTTAGAGGGGACCTGCAGAAACACTGCTTCTGAGGTCACAAGCTTTGACTCATTTTCCTTTAGGCTCCATTTCAAAATACCTTTTTTCTATGCTTATAAAGAAATCTCCTAACTAGATTTCTGCAAAATGTGTGTAAAATCCAACTGTCATTATTTCAATATGTAAGTTAATATAAAACATCTTTTTGTAGATTCCTACAAGACCCTGTGTTCACTATGCATTTGGTCAACAAATTTTGAATCAATTCATGTGAAAGAGCTGTTAAATTAAATATCTAGAAACACAATAAAACTGAAACTAATACTTGTAAGCACTTATGGTAAACTGTGCCCTGCTGTAAGTGTTTTCATTTCACTCCCCTCTCTTCTCCTCAGAACACATGAAGACAAGTGGTGCTCATGACCTCGCTCTCACAGGGGCACCGAGAGTCTGCCCCTCCCTAACGTCCCTCAGTAAGCAGCAGCTGCAGATTCCAAGCTGGAAGGCACCAGCGCCCATGCTTCAAGCACCCCGCCATCCTGACTCCATTCATGCCTCAGAGCTACAGCTCCATGGACACATCTCCACATAATCTTGTTTAGCTACTTTTGTCTTCACTCACTTTCCAGAGTTTATATCTCCCTCCTGAATTCAACTTGTACAACACAAAAGAGAGCTAAGTCATTCGTGTAATTATACCAGTGTTCAGACAGACTCAGACAGGGATGTGTTTATCCCTGTGTTTGAGAAGGTTCCTTAGCTACTCTCCAGCTGTGAACTGAAAGCATCCAACTGGCACGAAAAGGTCATGGCCCCAAGGCCTTTGGGCAAGGTATGTCACTGGGAGGTTTTAAAAATGGTTCCTGACTGTCCATGTTAGAACGACATTCCGGAGGAAATGCAAAATTTATTTCACATGTAAACCATTCAAGATATTTATAGAAGAAAACATTATGAAGAACAAAACTCTCCCTTTAGACTTGGGTTCCAAACGTTAAGAATGCTTCAAAAAGAAGAATAAAACAAAGGAGGGGCTATTTCTCTCTCAGCTCGTATTAATAGATGGGTCACAGTTTGCAGCATGATTGCACACATATTTTTTCAATTTCCTTATTATGAGCCACACAGTTAGCAACAAAATAATCTGGGGTCAAAAAATAAATGAAGCAACATGAGGCTCTCCAACAAAAACTGGCACACTATACAAAGAAAGCAATGTATGGATATTATGTGAGGAGAGGGATTCAAAGGCATTCTGTGTTCCTCATGATCTGAAAGTGCACAGTGCGCCAAGAACCGCAGGGATTCCTAGAATCGTCCACAGATATACTCCTGAAAGTAAGTCATAAACAAGTCAACATCAGACAAGGTCTAATCAAATACAAATGGGCTTCTTCCTAGTGAGTGTTTAAATTCTAGAAAATAAAGAAAAATATTTTATATTTTAATTCAAAGAACAATATATCTGTTTGACATATCTTTATGGCAAACATTTAAAAGACAAATCTAAGAGTAATAATTGGAAAAAGAAGTGAATAATACATGCTATGAGCTTTTAGATGTCTAAATGTACCCTAGGAAACTCACAAGAGCTCTCTCAATGTTACCCCTTTCCCTCTCTCTCTCTCTCTCTCTCTCTCTCTCTGGAAAGTTGTGTTATCTCTCTCAGTTTGTAAAATAAACGCCCTGACATTCGGAGTTAAATAACAAGGCCAAGTTCACTGAGCTAGAAAATAGAGGAAATGAAATTGGAACCCAGTTCCAGAATTTTTTCCCCTTCAAATATTCCCTCTCTGTAATAAAAGTCATGACCTCTCCACATTTGAATATAAGAATTAAATCTATATTAAATATTAAAACACTGAACTATCTTCATAATAGTAAATAAAATAGATTTCTCTAAAGTATTTTTATGTTAAAAATAAAATAAACCATTGAATAAAAACTAATTTGTATATTGTTTGGAAATATAATTTATCCAGTGACAGCCTTCAAGAATCACAGCGTAATTATTAAAAAGAGAGAAACTGACTTTCCAAAAAACTGTGTTTTTCTAGAATTTAGTTTATACTAGAAAAAATAAATATATGCAGTCTTAATGGCAAATAGCCATTGCTTATTCTAACAATTATATTTCTACATGACATTACTAAAAAGAATGAGTTTCTTTCGATCGATATATATTTAACATAGGCGAGGAAATCACATTCTCAGTGAAAATTGGAACTCAATTAGAAATACATATTGCAAATAACAAAATCCCAATTTTACTAGTTTAATCAAGAAATGAATTATGTTAGTGCACTTGATGGAAAAGATCTGAAATATAACTAGTTTCAGACAGGTTTGATCGAGGAGCTCAAAAAATATTACGCAGGACTCAATTCCTAAGCGTCTTCCTACTCTGTCTGCTGTCTGGTGCTCTCTCAGGCTCCTGGCGAAGCCTCCACTTGTCCCTGCGGTAGCAGCAGCTTCCAAAGATGCAGCCCTTGGAGCTTAACCTCACCCTACTGCGGGGAAAACTCATCATCTCCCCTTACGGTTTCCAGAGTGGAGAGACAAGGCTTTTTTTTTTAATGCTCCCAAATTATGGCACATTTTGCTGGTTCTGATTGGGTTCTTGGGCCCACTGGAATCAGGAGGATGAAATATGGCTGTTCACATGAGCTGCAGGTCTGCTAACGCCGTCACAGAGTGAGGCATCTCATGCAAAACGTCTGGACTCAGAACCGGGGAGGACTGTTTCCTCAGCGGAGAACTCGGGGTACAACTGGGTAGGAAAAGGTTGCCTGGTATCCTGCAAATTGCAAATATCCAGTAAAATTGAAAGGCTTTGCGCTAAACAGTAATACAAACATAGATATCCTCCCAGGTGGAAACAACAGAAAATTAATAATTGTAATAGGTGATAAGTACTGACTGACTGTTTAAAGTCAGAAGCTGACCACCTGCATGTTTTTCTTGATTGAAATATCACAAGTACCTATGCAGCAGGTGTAATGATTACACACACCCTTGACAGCAAGGAAACTGAGACTCACATTATTCCTTTTTCCAGCATAAAAAATGGGATAAAACATGTACTCCCTGTAACTATGGAAGAATGTCATTAAGAGTGCAGAAATTTTGAAAAAAAATTGCTAGATAGAACACAAATCTAGCTTCATGCAACAGAGCGCCTCAAATCTAGAGGCCCTCCTGCCCCAGTGCATCTGCACATGCTGTTCTTTGTACTTTCTCCCAGCTCCTAAATCTCTTCTCTTCACATGTCCTAAACCATCACTGTCAGCAGCTAATACTTAAACCCCTTTAGTTCTGTCAGCTTGTAGATCAGTAGGATCACAAATTCGAGACTGTTACTCCCAGCTGAGCTCTCAAGAACTAAGCCTCTTATCATTCCTCTCTTCTTGCAATCCCATTTGAAACCTTTGCCATTCTTCAGGAATATTTGATTGCTCTTCCTGTTCTTATTCTCAGCAGTCTACATCATCTAGTTCTTCAGAAGAAAACAAAAAGCACGAAGCAGTGACTTCCTCATGTTTATTCCTTACCCTAACCCTGGCCCCACCCAGTGGGATAGGTTCTCCAGAATCACATTTACATTAAACTTCCTCCTGAGCCCACTTGTAAATGCTCTAATTGGCCCAACCTTGTTAATATGCCTAAGAAACTAGAACTGAAATGAAAGCCTTACGAATTCAGTTTTACATGCTTTTTTTTTAAATAGAAGAGACATTGAAACTTTGGAGATGTGCTACAGCCATTATCTAACATATGTAGCTGTAACAGATTAAACCAGTATGCTTCTCAAGAGAAGAAGGGTGAGAAAAATTAGACAAAGAGATGATCCTTCTTCTATCAAAGGAAAGTTCTGCATGAGTTTCCTAAGACTTCCCAGGTTTTTTATTCCAAGCACTTTCTAAGTTTGACAGATGCCTTCATTTCCTTGGAGGCATCTCTAAAATATTACAACTAGATCTTTTCTGCTAATTTTGGTTGGTTTCTGCCACTTCCAATCAAAATCATCAATATAAAATAGTTTGTAATTGTTTTTGAAATTGTTTTTCTTCATTTCATCTCCATTGCCAGATTCTGGTTGAAGTTATCGCCTTATTGCAGCTAGACAACTACAAGCGCCTTCTAACCACTCTTCATACATTTCCTGTGCTCCATCCAGGCAATTCTCAAGGTGCATTACTTAGAGATCATTTATTTCTGCTATACAAAAGCTTTCAATACTTCCCTTTATTAAAAACCAAAAGCCTTAATTCAGACGACACAGACCCACTTACCTAGCTTCTAACCATGTGGGCAGCCTTATTTTACAATAGTCTTCCCATTGCTCATGCCCATTAGCTACCCTTGAACTCACCAAATCTGTCATGCTTGGGGTCATCATTCATTCTGTTTGCTCTGCTTGACATACTTCACCACACACTCACTGACTAAATTCTACTCATCACTCACATTTTGCCTTAAGTGAAATTTATAATTATAATAGTTTTCATTCAATTATTTTTAAGATCTGCTTCCCCTAAGGAAACTGTAGGATTAGTAGGTTAGTGACAATGTCATCATTGTATTTACTATCTTGTGTGTGGCAGGAAATCAAATTATGTGTTTGTTTAATAAAAATGAGTGAAATACAGATTCAAGATATGCTGTACACACATACACACATAGGAACACCAAAAGGAGGCTATTTCTTTACAAGATAAAAATATTTTTTCTATTCTGCCGACATGCATATCAAACTGTTAGTCTCTGTGCTTTGTATTTTGTAACATCTTCTCTGTTTGTAATTAATTCATCTCTGAAAAGTTGTCTTCTAAGTATTTCATTCATTTTATTGTTTCTACAATATTGTCTCCCCCACGCAAAAGCTTCATGTGGTCATAGGTGGGGCTTTTCATAGGTGGCTGGATCTAGGGTGTGTGATGCTGGGATCAAGGATGTGATGCTGGGATTGATTTATGGTTCAATGCTGGGATTAAGGGTGTGAGTGCTACCACCCCAAGAGTGAGTAGCCTGGGTAAGATACAAGGGACAGAAAGAGCTGTGGTCAGGTCTTGTTGCTTGTTGCTTATTGTTGCTGTCACCTGCCTTCTGCTCTGTGATGCCCCTCTGCCATGTCACCCTGCCTTGGAGCCAGCCAATTATGGACTGGAACCTCTACAAACTGTGAGCTGAAATAAACCTCTTCTCCTTTAACTTTGAGTGTTGTGTATTTTGTCTCAGCAATGAAAAAAGCAGCTAAGACAATAAATATCACCTATTAAGACAATTATTATGAGTGGATCAAAAATAAAATATAATGCTGTTGTGCGCTATTTGAAATAGAAAAACACACCAAAAGCAAAACGAAATAGGAAGTTAAAAAAAAATCAATGAATGATCAAAGACCTGAGAAAAAAATACAAAAGTAACATGGGATTTGAAATATTTGTGCCAGATAAAATAGAATCTAAAGGGAAATTATTTAAAGATATAAAGGAAATATTTTATGTAAAATTATAATTCATTATGAAGATATTAGTCAAGTATGGTATACATTTAATATCTTGAAAATGTGTCACAAAGAATGAAAAGAAATGAATTTCATGAAAAATATTACTATGATTTCTTTGTCATTGATAAATTTAGAATGTGAAAAACTATTGATATGCAGTTTAATAATATAATAGTGTTACAAATGTATATGTGTAAATATATAGTAACCACAGAAAATTAAGTTTTCAAATATGTATACAACAGTATAACCATAGAAAATAAACATTCAAGTTCTGTGAAAGAGTAACAATAATCACAGTGACTGCTCTCAAACTGGAGAAACAAATGATCGCTGTGCAAAATAAAACTGCCGAACACAAGTGAAAGAGGAGCACTTGCAAGCTCATTTTCATTAAGTTAACATCAACGCCCACAAAGACTTTAAAAGAAGATAGTCATAAGCCCATTTTACTTATGAACATGGAGACACAGATCCAAAATAAAAACTAATAAATCAATTTAGCAATATGTACTATAACCAAATCATCTTCTCTAAAAATGAAAAGATGATTTAATACCAAGAAATTTATTAAAATAAGATACAATGTGAATTGTTTTCAAAATATGAATAATCTCTACAAATCTACATAATAGAATGCCAAAAGTCCACTCAGTTAAATGGAACACACATCACTGATTTTGAAACTTCTTTGGACCCATGGTAAATAAGACCCTTTTTGGTGAAACACTAGATGAGTTGCCACAAAATTCAGAGAGAAGACATAAACATTTTCTACTTTTCAAATAAGTAAAGTTTAGAGCAGTTTTGTAA